GAATAACGTAAGTGTCGTCCATTCACATACGAATAACGCTTTCTGTTGTGAAACTAGACGTTATCTCGGAGACTTGCTCTCACTTTTTGGCAACAACTGCCTCTGACTTTGGTGGTCGCAAAGAAGTTTAGTTCGAAAATTTTCTCATTAACCCAATCCGTAAGAGAGATGCGGCGCACCTCGAGCTCGTGCAGAAACTTTTTGCATTTTATCAGTTGAATCTATTCGGGTTGCTCCAATAAAAACCAGCATAGAAAGAGTCGGTAACCTCTTCAAATAATGATTGCTTCCCAAGATTTTCTGGAAGGAGTGACGGCAGATCCTGAGATCAAAAGCGATGTGACTCACGCTGGCTTCATCGTTGTGAGCCATCCTCTTCTAGGTGATTGCCCCAATCCTCTGAGTGTGCACAGTTCTTGAACTTCCACTTTTCGCAATCCCAGAGACGTGTGCTTGAACCTTGAGAGCACCGAACATGTTTCAAAGAGTTGAAGAGGGAATACCGAGTCGCTTTCCGAAGTTGCAATTTCAGAGACCGTCATTGGGCAGCCTCTTGGTAATGGGTCGATGCAAAAAAATCTTCATGGCGAGAGTTCAGATGAACTTTGGACCAAACAACTTATGGTGCTTCTTACATAGTTTCAAAGCTTTCGAAGAGTTTCGAAACACTCTGAAAATACTCCACGGCTCAGTGCCAGCAAGCGGTCAAAGCCGCGTCCTATACTTTTCGGCCACCCTGTATTGAGTTCAGAGGCTGACTATATAAATACGTCATCATAACCCTCTCTCTCTGACATCACTGTTTTTCTCACTCTCTCCACTTACTGTTTCCTCTTCATGTCAGCTCCCTTCGTCTGGTACGGAAGGTACTCGTTGCTTCGGATGTCGTCCATGAAATATCGGCTTATCTGAACATGCAGTGATTAGGTAGTTTTCTACAACTTTCCTTCAAAATATTATTCTATGAAAAATCAGACTCATTTCTTACCCACAAAATTCTATGAAAATGGGGGGGGGGGCAGAAAAAGAAATCACTTGCTCAAAGTGCTCAAAAGAGTCGTCCACGGGAAAAATCATGATGCTATCTCACCCATAAATCACTGGCTTGAGTCCCACCACACCATTCA